CGAATCCAAAAATTCTTTAAAAAGGGGCGAATTTACGTTAATAAAAGTCAGGCGAAGGTGCACTATGGTATAATCTACCTCAATCATGAGTATAATTTTTGATTTCGCCTTTCAAATCACAGCATCATGTAACTCACTCGATTTCAAATTAGTTAAAGCTCCATTAAAAGAACACTTTCCTTCGATATATAGTTTCGCCTTTTTTTTTTTTAATATTGTGATTTTTATTCACACTTTGTATATATAATAATAAATAATAAAAATTCACTAAATATTTATATATAAACCTATTATTATTACCTTGTTTATATAATTAAAAATTTACTAAATATTTAAGTATGAACGAATTATTATTATTATTATAATTATTATTATTTTGATGAAAAAAATGATTTAACCCTAACCACCAAGAAGATTAATCAAATTCCAAGGAAAAAAGCAACACAAAAAAGTTGAACTCGACACTAAAAGAATATTTAAAAAAACAAGAACTATGCGTCAAAGTTGCACCAATTTCTAAAAATAAATTTAGAACTACCAAAAATTTGTATCTCTAAATATGAATTTATGAGAAAAAATAATAATATTAATTTCCATAGTTTGCATCAAATTTAACTACAAGTTTGGTAAGAAATGGTAGATTTGAGGATTGTTTGGTATCAGAATAAGATAAATAAAATTGTCCATGTAATGACTCTTGAAGACCATTTTTTATAATTTCGAACTATTTATTGACGTTAATGAACTAAAATATCATTTATTTTAAAATCTTATACCATTTGTTCTATATAATTAAATTAAGTTAGTAAAATTTACCACTTGAATACCGAATTATTTTATTTAACAACAAAACGAAGATAAAGAGAAAAAAGGGAAAGAAATTAACTGCATTCACCTTTGTATTGTTGTATACATATGCATATGATGGTAGATGCCATAGAAATATTTTTTTTAAAATTATTATTATTATTATTATTAGCATAGTTGTTAAAGAACAAGAAGAAACCGAAATTTAATAGTGGGAAAAAATATAATAATAAAGAAATTAAAAATTAATATACTGGTTTAATGTTCTGAACGTGGGGTTATAAATATATGAAATAGTTTTGTCCAATTATTGGACAATGATTACTCCTAATCACTAGGCCCAGATTTGGAATACTAATAGTGAACGAGGAATATTGATTGGAACATTGAAATTAGATTGTTTCAGCGGTTAGTTTTGCAATTCGTCATTAGTGTGTTGGGCAATTAGTTTCGATTTAAATTATTTTCATTCAATTATCATATTAGGATTCAAGTTTTAATATATTGAAATATGTATTAAGTAGTGGGTGTATTGTGATATATAAAAATCATTAAAATTATGTTGTTTGAAAATATTGAGACTAAACTCTAGACTTGAAACTTAGGAATTTAATTATATATTTTAAGTGAGTTTTTGGATTTAGGCTAGACCTATAGTAATATGAGTGTTGTTAGTTTCTTAACCTTATTGTGATTATTATTGTGAATAGATTGCTTTGAGTTGGAAGTTCAACGAAAGGGAAGATTCCTGAGTGATGGTTTGAGTATTTGAGGCAAGTGAATTTGTAAACTCTTGCTAAGTGTATGAAATGCGTGTGTTTTCTGGTGGTATATGTTTGGAAGTAATGGAACTTGGTGATGGGTAGACTTGTCCACATTAATTAGGGCCCGTTTGGCCATAGATTTTGCACATCAAACTTGGGAAAAAACTTGGCAAATTTTGTTTGTCCATACACATTTCTATTATTTGGCAAATTTTTTTGGCAAATTTTTCAAATTCCCAAATACTAGAAAAAACTAGTA